AAAAAAGAAGGAGGGACATCGTTGTGAGACGTAAGAGGGAGAACAGAACACTGGTAAAAGGGAAGAGGAAGCTGCATCTTCCAAAGATGGAAAGGGAATCGGAATGCATGAAAGGAACAGGCCTGGAGGGGAGTAAAGTCTCTACAAGGGGCCACGTGAGAAGAGGGAGGTGAGGCTGGATGGCTAGGGTGGGTCCACGCTTACTACCTGGTAGCTAATGAGAGGGGTAAAGAGAATACAGTCAAATCTGAGATCGTTATAATGCACTCTTCCAAAAAGATGCAGGTGAAAAGACTGGCAGTACAGAGACCAGTGGGGACATCATACCAGTGTCCCCGAATGAGGTGTTGAGACTAAAATGGTGGTAGGGGAACAAGAGTGATGCTAGGAGGAAAACAACAGAATGTGACTCTCTGGGTAGGAAGGAGAGAATGTCAAACTGACCTCAGGTTATAGAGCCCAGGCACCTAGGAGAATGATTTATAAAATATGGAGCTGGCTTCTGCCTCAGCCTTATAGCTTCTGCATCTCCATGTGTAGCTTTCACATGCTGTTTCTTAGTCTCATTACTCTGGTCAAGTTGCCTCAGGTACATTCATCCATGCACAGTTTTATTGTCTGAGAATGGCATTTCCAACCACACAGATTCCACGGTCCTTTCTGGCGTACTTTCGCCCCACTGCTGCTGTGTCATCCCTTCCGTCTAATTCTATCCAGGGCACCCTTCTCTCCAGCTTGGCACCCTTGTCCCAATCCATATTCCTGTAGCCACCAGGGGTGCAATCTGTTATTCAGAGCCCCCCTCCGAGCCACAACAAGCATTGAATCTTCCCAAGTGTCCCAATTTGCCCACTTCTTTATTTTACCTTCCTGCCCATTATTCACTTTGGTTTGACTTTTCTGCCACTTACTATAACTCTTTGTTATTTGGATCAGTGAAATCAGGTACATTTTCATACCCAGTGAACTAAAATGTCTCCCCAGAATCAATCCAAAGGACTTAACTGTCAAATGTTTGAAAAATATTTTATACATCATTTTCTTTGATTTCCAACTGGAAACTCCTTCATCTTTTTTCCCCCTTTTATTTGTTAATGCCAGTATCATTTGATTTCAAGGAGGAAGCCCAGTCTCTCTGCATAGATTCCAACTTCTATTAAAGATCCTCTTGTCCTTTCCTCCCATAAAGCTGAACACACAGATACACACACACACACACACACACACACACACGCACACGCACGCACGCACGCACGCACTCCTGAGACTCTCCAGTTCTTAGGGCCCTGCTGTGTAAGGATGACGAATGGCTGCAAAAACCACTCCTTATCTTTCTTTCCAGTCTGTTGCCTGGCCAAGCTCAATCCAATCACTAAAACCTGCCTCTTAATCATTCCACAAGTCTGACCACCAGCTCCTCTCACTTTCTCAGAAATTATCGGCCTCCACATGTTCTGTTTACTCAATCTTTGCATTTTATGGCAAGTCACCCTCAGCCCTTTGTGAGCAGCACACACTCAGCAGATCACGTGCTTACATCCTAGAGGTAAAGGGCAGGCAGTTCTGATTTGCAGTTTACAACTCACCGGCCGCGTGGCCTTCTGCAAATCATGTCCCCTCACCAGGCTCCACTGTGACAGTGAAGGGGTTAGACACAAAGATCTTTAGGGCTCTTTCCACTCCAACAGTGGATGACTGTCTCAGTCCCACGGGGTTGACCTCAATAAGGAAACGCTCTAGAACTGGCTGGATGAGCCTCACCCACGGATCCCTCTTTTCCTTCTGCATTTTCCTTTTCTCCCTGAGACTGCTTCTGTGATGGCTGAAGTCTCTTGCTGGATTTGTGACTCTCGTGGACTCTCCCATGGTCTCCCACGGTAAGTCGCCCTCAGCCACTTTTCCCAGCAGAGTCCGAGCTTTCTCCCTGGAGTCCTGTGGCCTGTGAGCAGATTCAGAACCTCCATCTCACTCGGTGCAAACTGACGCAGCTCCTGCTCTACTCCTGGCTTTCCATTTGCATTGTTCACAGACAACTGCCTCTCTGAATCGCTCAGGTAAACTGCCAGGAGAATATCCGTCTGCCCATTGGTGCTCCTGGGGAACTCTGCGGGCCAGGCTCAGGCCCCTCTCTGCAGCAGGCTCTAGCCCTCAGGGCCGTGACTCATGCACCAAGCAGCCGGGACCTGTAGTCACTCCCTCTGAGCTCCCTCACCAGCTTGGAAAAAGCTTACAGCTCACACCAACACAGCTCCTTTCCTTCACAAGCTCCCACTCACCTGTACTCCCTGAGTCTTCTTTGTGCCGTAGCCTCGCTTAGGGGACCTTCCCTGAGAATTCTGCAGACTGAAGGCATGCTTTGCTTCTTCCTCTTCCAAGGAAGAGGACAGTGAAATTTCCACTCCGTAATTGTCATTGAAAATGGGTGCGTTGGAAGAAATCCGTCAAAAGCCATTAAGTATAGAGAATGTTCTCAGTCTATTTGAATCATGACTAAGTCTGGTACCTGTTTCCCTTTAGCTCATTTGCTTGTAACCTTTGGCCCCCTGGCACACGTGATTGCAGAGTTAGAAGATTGCATTGAACAACAGGCTTTGAGCTGCTGTAATCATGCAGCTCCTGAGTCATGTTAACAGCAAATGCGGCTCTAAGGTAACTGAACTGTGTGAGTGATAGGGCAGTCACCACCACCAAAAGGTATTTACGCAGAGGTTTGGAAAACCATGTACAAACACGCAGAAGTCTCAGTGATGTGTCTCGGGGTAGGTGGGTGAGGAACGATCGTGTCTATAAAGGGCTACCGTACCAAAATATTGCATTTCTAATTTGACCTCATTAACGAGAAGAGGTTATGATAAGGGCACTAAATACCTTAAAGCACGCAGACAATTATGGGTAGAGCAACATGGGGTCCAAAAGGATATCGGGTTTATTTCCGGGGGATAAATATGTGTGTAAAAGAAGGAGAGCCAGTGAACGTAATTTCTTTACATTTTCAAAGACTTTTAAACAACTTCTATCCCAGAGGCTAATTAAAAAAAAAAAAAAAAACAGTCATCCTAGGACCAAAATCCTCGTGTCGTGGATATAGAAGTTGTTTAAGAGAAAACAAAATTAGGGAGAATAAACACATCTCAAACTGTGAGCCTTCCGGATACTAACATGCAAGCTGATCTTATTAAAGTCATTATAAATGACTGACAGAGCAACTACTGCACAATAAAAATCTTAAGATCACAGTTAACTCTAAGTGAAAAGTTGATGGTGAAAATAAACTTTACAAAGTAGCACTCTAAGTTGTGAGTAGGTAAAAGTGACAGAAGGAAATTCAATGTGGTCAAGGGCCCAAAGGAAGTGATTCAGCATATATCTATAGGATTTTAAGCTCCAAGCTTGTTACAATTCAGCAAAGGACCAATGAAAAGGACTGTGGTTTATGTCTCCTGAAGACATTATTCCTACCTGGTTTAGCTCAAAAAAACCCAACAAAATACTGTATATTCATATATGCCTCAAATACAGTCTGTCCAAAAAGTGTTAGTTAATGGTTGTTTTCAGAATTTCTCATAAGAAATTGCTAAGTTTCTAACACACTGATGCCAAGCAGGATTAAAGAAAAAATTGAGTTAAATTCTGGAAATCTGAAGAAGGAAGGGACAATAAGTAGAACTGTGCCCAACTTTCTGAAACCTAAAGTATAAAAAAATTAGTAATTCAGTTCAGGAAAGATTACTCATACCTAAGCTGTTGTTGTTTGTTTTTAAAACCAAGGATCTAAAGACAAGTTGAAGCCAATTGTCTCTTAATTTCCCAGATTAGGTGAGAATAACCTGATTAAACAAATATATATTAAATTCCTAAAGACAGTTTCGGTCTTATAGAAGTCAGCTGTGAAGGTGCTCAGAAAGTCTTAGCAACTTCAAGCAAGGAAGCAGTCATTCAACTAAAAACATTTTTTTACATGTGTATCATTCAGACGTTGATATGTTACCTCTCTGGGAAAATAAGGGAGAGTTTGCCTGGAAAATATAAGGTTGGATATGACTCCGTTTGAGCCATATGGCCAGTGTTCAAATACTGGTGTGAACAAAAAATTTGGATTATAATTACTGTTATTGCTATTAAGAAGAATCTGTTGTTAGTTTACTTATAATACATACATATTAATATATCACATATTAATAATAAAAAGCTAGCTTTATGAAAAGAGTGAAAAATCTCCATCGAACTTCTCTGAAGTCATCCCTATTTTCGATTTTTTTTAGCAGTGTCAGCCTGTTTAGGATAAATTAATATTAACCCAAATTTAATTACTATAGTGATAACTTTTCTAAGGATTAAGCAAGCTAACTTACATTTGAGAATGGATTAAAAACAAAATGTCTTATCAGAAGTGGTACTACTGTGTCATATCATCATTAATTGGGTATAGGACAAAGTTTACCATATTATTCTTACCTTTGTACAAAGCTGCAATGCAATGCTACTTTCGAGGCCCCCTAAAGATAAACCAGAGTGGTGGAATGTCCAGGGAAGAACAACAGTGAGCCCACTTAAAAGATGACGCTACCACTGCTGTATGAGGGCTCAATATGAGAAGAAAAGGTAAAGGGTGATGTTCTTCAACTGAGAAAGGCAACCTGAGGGGAGACAGAGAATCATACATCGTAGAGTTGGATGGGAGTCTGGAGGCTAATTGGTTCGATCTTGAATTTTACATTGAAGGAAACTGAGACGTGGACAAGCTGCATCGTGGCCGGGCGGTGACCGGAGTTTAGGTCTCGTGACTTGGATTCTCAGACTCTTTCCTAGAGTCTAGGATTCTAGGATTCTACCCCATGCTGCTTCTCACAAAGAGGATGAAACAGAGGTAATGATACCTTCACAATAACTCAAGTCAAAATATAAACTCATGAATGGTCAGAGTAGGATTTCCAAATCCACCTAAACTAGCTTAGACCTTAACTTGTGGGTTCAGTAAAAAAGAAGGTTTGAATGGGGTATTCATCACCCATCAACTCATTTTAATTCCTTATACAACCTCTGAGGCCATAACAAGCAGAAAAAGTGCCCAAACTCTGAGGAGTCAAAGAGAGTCGACTACTACCATAACCCAGGCACCACCGTGGTCCTTCATGACACCTAAATCAAATAGCCTGGAATCCTCATAGGATTCCATGTTCTGAACCTTGTTCCGGGGTCTGGGGAGAAAACACTCGGAGAAGTGCCAAGTTTATTAGAGTGAGAGAGGATCGCCCTCACATAGCCACCGATGGATCCCAGAGACGCAGGCACTGACCTCGCCCTGACAATTATGGGATATCTCTAGGGTTGGAAGATACCTTAAAAGGTCACCAGGTTAACCCTCCCAACTGATGTGTTCATCCCCCTTAAACAGCTCCCTCCAGTGGGCTGAGGTCAGATTCTCTTTAACACACGGCCGTGATGGAAACTCTGGTCACTGGAATTGGTACTCTGGAAGCAGAGAACGTTTAAGTACTGCAGGGTAGTAGAAGTAAAGGTCCTTGGCTTAGGCCCCATTGGTCCCTTTTCCTATGAGAAAAGGTTCCCAGAGTCCAGTGCAAAGTCCCTGAAAATCCCCCCACCAAGCACAAAGCACAAAAAATGGAGGCCTGGGACTAGCGACTGGCAGCTCGGTGTCATCCTTGGGTTTCAGAAGGTCTAGTTCCTGGTGCACAGAAGGCCTCTGTGGCCAGATTCTGGGGCCAGCCCTGTGCAGGAACATCTTGTCCTTAAGCTCAAGGGATTCCTCCCAGAAAACAGCTAGGTCTGCTGTTCCACCAGCTGTAGTTTGGCAGTCTTGACTCGGTGGGCTTCCTTCAGGTTCCGTGCACGGACCTCTGGGTTGGAAATGAACTCCACTTGCTGTACAGGGAACCAGCCTTGCTCCCCATCGGAGAGTCTCACGCCCTCCAGCCAGCCTATGGGCACAGGGTGGGTGGGAAGAATAATTACCTGGAAAAGACCCACAGTAATTTCCCCCAGACCTCCTTCCCAGAAATTCTTCTGAACTGTAAGGCTGATAGGACCGGAGAGGCCGCAGTCTGGGAAATCCAGCCGCCCCGTGCACTCACCCTGGCTGCTGTAGGTCTGGCACAGTCCACAGCTGCCTGTTCCTGAGCCTTCTCCACTCTTACCCGTTGCATTGTATTCTCCCCAAATACATGCTGAAGTTCTAAGCCCAAGTAACTCAGAATGTGGTCTTATTTGGGAATAAGGTTGTTGCAGATGTAACTGGTAAAGTTAAGATGAGGTCATACTTGAGTAGAGTGTGCCATTAATCCAATATAATTGGTATCTTTATAAAAAGAAGGAAATTTGGACACATACACACACACACACAGAAGGAAGAGAGAGAGCTCGGAGTGACGCTGCCACAAGCCAAGGAAGCTGGGGCAATCAGAAGCTGGAAGAAGCAAGGAAGGACCTTCCCCTAGGGTCTTCAGAGGGAGCATGGCCCTGCCAACACTTTGATTTTGGACGTCTAGTCTCCAGAACTATGAGAGAATACATTTCTATTGTTTTAAGCCACCCAACTTGTGCTACTTTGTTAGAGCAGCCTTAGGAAATGAAGACATCCACCCATAGTGTCCCACCTTCAATGCCCAGCCTGCTCCTCATGGATTCTCCCTCTTACCATCACTGCTTTGCTGAGTCACCATCACCACGTCTGCCTTCTCTAGTGCCAACTCATCATTCTCTCGGGGTTTGTAGGCTCGAAGGCACTGTACTTGTGGGGACTCTTTGGAAGAGAGTGTGACAAAGGTTAGGAAAGGCAGGCGACTAGAACATGAGAAGGGACTTGCAGGGGGAGTTTGGGAGGACTTGGGAGATAGAAAGTTTGGGCTGTTGAAAGTTACACACAAGAAAGACAATTGGAAAAGTCTTCATATTCTACCAGGGAACAAAATGGTTGATAAGGAAAGAGAAATGCCAGACTTGAAATGAATCAAAAATTCTATTTCCCCAGCAAAGATGGAGAAATAGGTTGTGACCACCTTTTAGTGACTCATTATTACAAATAATTGATATTCTGCTAAAGACCCATCTTCCCACTGAAACCTTCCCTGATTGTCCTCAATGGATTCTAAACTCCTTTAAAACTGACTGTCGGGCTTCCCTGGTGGCACAGTGGTTGAGAGTCTGCCTGCCGATGCAGGGGACGCGGGTTCGTGACCCGGTCTGGGAGGATCCCATGTGCCGCGGAGCGGCTGGGCCCATGAGCCATGGCTGCTGAGCCTGCGCGTCCGGAGCCTGTGCTCCTCAACGGGAGAGGCCACAGCGGTGAGAGGCCCGCATACCCGCAAAAACAAAAACAAAAACCAAAAAAACCTGACTGTCTATGGCAAACCATTTATCTTTCACCTAATTGTTTCATGTTTGTGTTCTGCCTCTCCAACTAATTTGCAAATTCTGAGTCTGTGACTCATTCTTCATTCTCTTCATGGTACAAGATGTGGGACTAGAAGAGACTTCTCCAGTGGGGTTCGAGGTATGATCTAAGCAAGGCACTGAACACCCTTCCTCATCTATAAATGACTGAGTTGATCAAGGAAATTCTGGATTTTTTGTATGTCTATATCTTCGTGAGCGAGGAGAAATTTCCACAGTTTTGAAGCTCCAAATAAGATGCCCCAGAGTATGCCTGACCCACAGCCTTCTATCGTACATGGGTTTATGGCTCTTTCTGCTCTACCACACTGCACTGGCTCTCTTAGAAAATAAACAGAACACTGCATTGTTATCTGTACTTGTATTTCCAAAGCTCATCCATATATGCCATTCACAAGATCACAGTAAAGGAGGAAGAATTATCTTGCCTTCCTTACCTACTGGGGAACTGAAGCCCAGCAGATGGATTGAACACTGAGCAGAACTCCATTTACAGCCTGGTTCTCCTACTTCCTTTTACAAAGTTCCTTGTATTTGTTTGTTCTTTTGAGTCACTAAAGGCTCAGTGTTCCTTTGAATTCAGTTCCTCTCGGATATGAATTAGAGAATCCTTGCTGGAGGACAACTGTGGGGCTTACATGAGACCGAGAAGTCCATTCTTAGCATGAATGCAGACACTTCCTAATGTGTGTGCCTGTGGTTGCCCACGAGTACCTGGAAGCCTGGGGTAAGGGCAGTGTCTCAGGTCATCCTGTACAGGAGGGGTTGTGGTCAGGACAAATCTACTGTGTTGCTATCCTCCCCAACCCCTACTCCAGATGGACTCTCTCCCCCTATTTCCCCAAGAACTTCAAGTCAGTAAAATCTAAATATCTAATCTACAGATATTTTAAAAGAGCAAACTATTGCCCAAGGCAAGGAATGTATGGTGCTGGGGAGGAGGCACTGCCATGGTGATGAGCAACTTGAAGCAGATGCATCTCAGGTGTTTAAGTTCCAGTGACCAGCCCTCCACTCTGAAATTCTGGACAAAAGTAATAAATAGAAGCCTACCTGAGTTACTACCCAGCGTCCTAAACTCCTGCATCTAAAGGAGACTTCTGACCCCCACCATTTTTCTCTCCCTCTTAGACCTTCACTCACCATAACACTCCAGAAGGTCCAACTCCTCTCTTGGCATGGCCAAGGCTGAGATCCAGCGAAGCTTTTCACTTCTAGAAAACAAAGCAGGGTCATTGCTTCAACTGCAGCTCTGGGGGGGTACAGGACAGGGGCCAATGATAGGGAAGGGAAGGGACCGTGGGAAAGACTTGTCTAGTTCAAAAAGTTGTCTAGTTCAGTGATATCCAGGACAAAAGTCAATGGGACTCCACTTGGATGGAAATTTGACAGGATCATGAACTATATGTTCATGTGTCTTATCATCCTTTACCTTTCCCCCTCTCTTTCCAAGCTTATCTTCTTAATGGCATCTCGTATCTTTCAAGTAGGGGCATAAAGTCAGCTGTCAATTATGCACATGTAGATTTTCCATTTTGGGAAGCATACTAAGCAAAATGTTCATCTCGGTTGAGATTCCCGCTATCACTTTGCATCCTTTTTGACACTCTTCTGCCTACCTTCCTTCAATCAAATATCTCAGAGATGAAAATTATTCTGTAATCATGATTAGATCAGGGAGATATATCTACTATTGTTTTGGTCATGTAATATAATCCAAGCCTAATTTTGTAATTATCTGAAGGTTTTTGGATTACCTTCACCTCTGCTTCCAAACATCCTGGAGTAATTGAGAGCTGACACTATTACCGTTCCAGGAAGATGCTGCCCAAAGTGCTACACAAAGAACATGAGTCTGTATCTGATTACTTGACTTAGGTGACGTTTTGCACCTGTACCAGCCCCTCTGTTCCATAAGTGAGGGCAGGTTTTTTTTTTGTTTTTTGTTTTTGTGGTACGCGGGCCTCTCACTGCTGTGGCCTCTCCCGTTGCGGAGCACAGGCTCCGGACGCGCAGGCTCAGTGGCCATGGCTCACGGGCCCAGCCGCTCCGCGGCCTGTGGGATCTTCCCGGACCGGGGCACGAACCCGCGTCCCCTGCATCGGCAGGCAGACTCTCAACCACTGCGCCACCAGGGAAGCCCGAGGGCAGGTATTATTGATCCTACCCTGAAGTGTCTTCTAAGGGACAAAAATGCAAAGTGTCTACAACATGAGGATGTTCAGACCACTAAGTATCTCGTCAAACTTTTTAAAGGAGAGGTTTCTTATATCTTTTATAACAGCAATAATAGCTACAATTGTTCATTAAGGTAGATACTGTGTACCAGATTTTATAGGTATTATTTTTAATACTCTTCACAGTGTTTATATGTGTGAATGTATGTTATTATTATTAATATTAAAAAGATGAGCAAATCAAAATTCTCAACGCTATGGATTTCTGCTCAGCAGAGGACTGGGTTAGAAGGTGGGAGCAAAGAAAGCTGAAGGCACCCCAGTGCTTACCTTTTTCATGTCTTATCACATCTATGCCCCACCAGCCTTGGGCACTGAGGAATGTCTGGCTTATACACTTTCAACTGTGGATGTCAGTAATCCAATTACACAGACTTTGCCCTTCTTAGCATAATAGACGCTAAGCCTTGGTAGTGACAGCGACTTTACACCCTCTCCCACCCAGTCTCCTGTAAGTCATTTATTAGCTCTAGGAGTCTGGGTTTAGGATGCTCTAGAGATGCTCCCCAGTCCAGAATGGACTAAGCGGTACTGTGGCTGTTTTCTGGACACATTTTCTGCCTTGGCCCCACTTCCTTGCCGGGCTGTCCTCCCTCCCTTCCCTCCAGATCCCCTGCCCAGCCCCATCTCACTGAGTCTCGGTGCGGAAGAGGAACTCAGCCTGGGAGCCCTGTGCGTTGTCCCGCAGGAAGAGTCGGAAGAGGTTTTTGTGAGGTCCATGCAGCTTCATTTCACACTTTTCCCCTCGGACGGAGGAGAAGGGAGCGTGGTCAAATACCAGGAAGCGGCTACCCCTGCAAAATACAAGGCTTTTCAGCCTGACTCTAGGGTCATCACGCTTCCTCCACCCTCATATCTTTGGCCAATTCAAAATCCCTGGCCTAGCATCTGCAGCCTGCAAATTCTCGTCAAAACCATAAGATGGTGTCAACTTGCTCCCAGGGGAGATTTGTCAATGGCTTGGCAAAGCACATATCCAGTGCAATGGATGCTTTACCGCTTCAAAGAGATGAAGAAACAGAGCCAATATAAAGTTTCTAAGGCCCTCAGGACAAAAGAAGTGGCTAAGTATCGATGTTAGGCTAGTAGGCTGAGCCCAGCCCAAAGAAAGCACAAACAGACTGATCTGAAAATGTGATAAGCTAATTTGCTGCATTTTGCTCTGTGTCTATAACATGGTCCAGGTCCTGCCAGGCGATCTCGGGATATAATTCGGTGGGATCCCCTTTTTCGCTTTGGACCATTTTCCTCCTCTCTGGGTCATGACCTGGCCTCCATGGGATGAGCCACTGAGAAGCGTTCCTCTATAGGCACACGACCCTTCCCTGTCCCTTTAGTGCTTCCCTCCTGCCTCCTCCCATTTCCCCCTTGTGCTCTGGCCTCCCATTCCAGTCACTGACTCTCGGGGCCGAGACAGCAGCAGACAGTCATTGAAGAGGTGCAGGTGGACTGGGCGTGCGCTCAGCTTCCTCCGCAGCCCTGGGGAGACACTGAACTCCAGGGCCGTCAGCTCCCCGCTCTTCACCAGCCAGCGTGACTGTGAAATGAGCGGGAATATCTACAGAGCAGGGAAGAGAAAGAAGACGGTGTCACAGACGGGACAAGCACGAGGCTTTCTCCCGGGCCTGACCCCCCTCACCATGCCTCTTCCTCATAAGCCCCGCCCTTGACAATCATCTCTTTCACATCTTCCTCCTTGCTCGTGACCCATCCACTTAAACTCTGTTTCTCTCGGAACCGTCTAACTACCACTGTCTACTGCGGCGTGGCTCCCATGTCCCCAGCTCAGGCAAATGGAAGGTGCCTACGGTCCATCCCAGGAGAGTGACTACATGAAAAAGCTCAGCCCTAGAAGCCAGAACTGAAGAAGAGATGGGAGAACCCGACTGGGGCATGTGAACAAACAGAGAACAGTATTATATGTCTCTTAGACGTTGAAAGTTGAGGGTGGTTCTGACATCCGTTCTTTCTACGATTATAACCAGAGACAGGAGAGAAGCAGTCGGGATCAGATGTGGGGATGAGAATAAAGAGAAGCAGGTGGGGTCTGCCTAGAGCTGGAGTTTGGGTAGTGATAAGGGTATTGAACAATGATTAATATGTAGATAAGGGATTTTCCCTCTCTTCTTGGGAGGTAAGGATGGTATCTGTTCTGAGTTGAAATCTGAATGTGGAATGTCTATTTTAAATTTGTATTTGGATGAGAGATTTTGGCTCTATATTTGGATTCAATTTTATACTGCTTTGGTTAGACTAGACGGAGACGTAATAAAATATTGAATACTTCAAGTACCAAAAATGTATCTTTTTAAAGCCTTACATTGATAAGTTCTCTCTCACCTGCCCAGTTCCCAAAGGCACCCTCTCCCTCTCAGGTAACCACTGTCCTTTATTTCTTATGTATCTTTCCAGAGTTTCTTTCTGTATACACAAGCAAATGCATATACAGATTTTTACCCTACTTTTTCACCAAAGGTAAGATACTATATAACACACATAGGGCTGCATTTCCCCTTTCGCACTTAACAATATATCGTGGAGACTGAAGTAGGCATTTGGGTAACCCAGAAACAGGGCAGAACAGAAGGTGTGCAGAGATCAGGTTAGAGACTGGGATACCGTGAGCAAGACGGTTCTGTGATAGAAGGTGACCTGTGGGATCTGCTTCCCGGCAGGGTGGGGACTCAAGGGACTAACTTACTCTGCACTCAAACTCGATCTTCTGGCTCAGGTAGATCAGCTCCTCCGTCCGTCGCATCCGCTGGACGTTATTATTGCAGTCTCGGATCAGCTGCGTGTTCAGCAGGGTGAAGAGAGAGGAAGAGATCCCCGTTAGAGGCTTTGGCTTTGTGTCCCCTGCAAGAAATCTGGAAGCTGGTTGTGATTAGCTTTAGTCTTTGCACCAGCCTGGAAGGGAGCCAATACAGCAAGACGCTGAAGCTCTAGGACTGTGGTATACTTTGTAGAGACCTGACAGAACATTCCTGGGCCGCGTGAAAGTAAGATTTAATCTGGGGATTGTGGTAGGAGAGCATAGTCCCTTGGCATGGAGTGTCCTTGAGGCTGTGGGGTGTGAATGCTTGGAGGTTTGGCGGGTGCAGTGAGGTAGCTGAGGGGCCTGTGCTTTCTGGAGTCACGGGCCGGGGCAGGGGAAGAGCTCTCTGTGAAGGACAATCCCGGGGTCCGAGTAGCGGTGGTAGCTGCCTACCTCCTCCAGGGCGTGGTGTGCCTTCGTGGCCTCTGCTTCCTCCGAGGAGCCAGGCTGGGTTCTCTTCAGAATGTTCTACAGAACAAACCGTAGGCGGAAGCCAGATGGAAAGAAGGGAGGGGCAAACAGGAAGAGGCGATTGAGGGTGGGTGAATGGAGAAGTTCAGGAGCAAAAGTTTAGCAGCAAATATTTCTGAGAAAGGAGAGTGGGGGTGGTGATACGGGAGACCGCTCACACTGTCCACAGGGGGTGGGAGAGTGGCAGGAGAAAGGATAGTCCTTTGGATTAAGGGGGTGGGCTGAGGTGGGATCTGCTCTACCTGGAGCAGCAGCTTGAGACGGGTGATGCGCTGGAAGGGCAGAATGAGAAAGGACTTGAGGGAAAGGCGTTGGCAGATGGGGTCACTCTCCAGCTTCTCCAGGACCTCTCGGAAACTGCTGTTGCTAGTCCTGTGTGGGTAGGGAGGCTTGGGTGAGGAGGGGTTGGTGAGTATTGTGGGGCACAGTGAAGGCGTGGGGAGTGGGGGCTCGGTGGAACGCCTGTAGGTTGGGAAAGAATGGTGGGGTCCAATGTACAGGAGCCCCAGATGTGATGGCTGAGGGTGTCTGATCTGGAAGCGGGGTGGGGCTTGAGATCACAGAGCGGGCACAAGAACATGTGTTCTCGGGGTAGCCCCCTGGGCTGGGTATTGGGGGTCTGGTGCAAGGTCACTGCAGGGCCCACGTGGGGACGGGATGGGGATCAGGTCTCACAGCAGGCTTTGGAAGGTGCGTTCCTGGTAGGTCTGGTTGGTGACATAAGGCAGGTAGACCCGGCGGAAGTCGGGGGCATGGCTCAGAACCACATCACACACTTGGAAGGTGAAGATGTTGCCCTCAAAGTTCTCTTCCAGGTCTGAAAGGAACCTGTACAGGATTAAAACAAGTCTCATCAGACTTGTGGGTCTCAAGTGAGGAGTCGGCTGACCCCTGCTATAGCTTGAGCTTGTTACTTCTTCCCTCCATTAGTCAGTAACTTCTATTGACTGTCCTTAGCTCTGTGTTGCTTGCCATGCACTAGAGTTCTCTCCAAGGCTGCCGCTCATTTGCCCCTGATCTAACTCTCTGGTCCTAATATCCCATTTCTTGTTCTTCTTTTCATCCTGTTCTGGTTTTCTGATCTTCAGATGTTTCCCACGTCATCTCCAATGCTCTGCATGCCCACAGCACATGCAAAACCTCAACCCAGGAAGCATTTCTCATTCGTTTACCCATTACTGTTCCCAACCACCCACTCACATTCTCCTCTCTTTGCTCTCTCTATCCCTGTAGCCGCTGGGAATCATGGAGGGAGCAATGAGAGGGTTCTGAAAAAGGAAAAAGCCAATGAGAGGTTTACAGACTAAAGAGAGTGAGGCTGGGTGAGTGGTATTTGGGAGAAGGGGAAGCTCACATGGTGCTGACGTCACGCACATCCTGTAAACGAGAGAAGAGCCATTGATGATCCTGGTTGGAAAGGGTGGCCCGCAGCTGCTCTGAATGTTGGAAATGATCCACGGCTATATGTAGACTGCGCAGGTAGGAGGCCTCTGACACAATCAGCTCAAATTTGGCCTAGGAGATTAGGGAGGAGGAAGACTAATTAAAAACATTTATTGAATCCCTGGCGTATGTTAGCCACTGTGTAATATTTCAGGGGTAGAGCGGTTAACAAGACGGATCCTTTTAGAGCTCACAGTCAACACCAGAGTCCAACCTGATATCAGGGAGGAGAGAGAAAGAACCTTTGAAGCTGAGGGAAAAACATGTGCAAACCCTCAAAGGTGGAAGAGAAAAAGATGCTTTCAAGAAACTCAAATAAACTGAGTATCCTTGGAACCAAGGGTACCAAAGTAGTGGCCGGAGATGAAGCTGGAGAGGCAGAGAGGAGGTCTGGAGGATTATGTAAAGAAGGTAAAATAGCTTAGACTTAAGGCAGTGGGGAAATGAAAAGAGGCTTTATGTATGGGACTAACTTGATCTAATTTGTTTCCTATTGTATAAAGATATTTCTGAGCACAGTATGAAGAAAAGATTAGAGGGGGGCAAGAGAGCCATGTTAGGGAAGCGTCATAGTAATTCCAGAGGAGAGATGAAAGTCTAAATAGCCATGGGGATGGGGAGAGGTAAGCCAATTTCATAACTATATAGGAGAGAGATTTGGAAGGGCTTGTTTATTTGCTAGAAATAGGGGCTGAAAGAACAGGAAGAGTCAAAGCTAATGCCTCCATTTTTGAGTTTAACTGGGTGAATGACAGAGTTCCTTACTGAACTAGAGAACTCTGGAAGAGGAACAGATTTAGGGGATGAAGGTAATTTGAGGTTTGAGGAGCAATGGAAGGAAGCAGGATGTTTGAGAAGGAGATGGTGCAATTGTGGTTTAATGGAAACAGCCCAGTTATTGGGAAGTTCCAGCAGGAGACACAATGACTCACAGCCCTATTCTCTATTCTTCATTCAAGTATGCAGCTTCAAGACAGATGCATGGACAGGAAAGAGAAAGAACACACACAGACACACCGTGGTGGTGACTTGGATAACTAATGACATGGCCGGAGGCCACTCACACACGACAACACTGAACCAGGACACTGAAGGTTCATTTGCGTCCTGGCTCTAACATTCGCTGAGTATATCACTTTGGGTGGCTCATGTACCCTCTCTGAACCTCAGTTTTCTTATCTGTGTAGATATAGTGATCCTCTCCTCACAAAGATGTTGTGACAGTCAAAAGAAATGGAGTCAGTGAAAGCACTTTTTCCCAGAAGTGCTAATTCAGGAAAGGAACATATGTGTATAAGTATAGAGGCTTTTCTTCTCAGAAATGTGAGACCAGGGCTGGCCTAGGAGCCCTGGTGGACTTCCTTGAATTCTGGAGTTGGTGAAAGAGAGCTAGGGTTCAGATCATCTGCCCACTGTTTGGTCCATAAATATGGGCAGACCAGCGATTTTATAAATATCTTCCATATGCTTTAAAAGTTGAGGTCAGCACAAGGCCCCCAAGTGTGAGCTTCAAAAAACCTAAACATGTATACCTGTTTGGCTTGGTAAAAGCACTGTTTATCCATAAGTCCTTACGGCCAAAATTTTACTCCTTCCCACTTCTGAAAGAGGGAGGATATGGCATTAATGTGTGTATCAAACTATATACCAGATACCATGCTAAAAGCTAAATAGGTGTTGTTTCATTTAAACCACACGGCAACCCTGAAAAGTAGTCATTATTATCCTTGATTTTTACGTGAGTAAACTGAGACTTAGTGAAGTTATATACCTTGTTAATGTTACACAGCTAGTAAATGGTGATCCAGGATTTAAACCCAGGTCAGCCTGATTTGAAATTAAAGTAGTAAATGTTTTGTATACAGTGTTAGGAAATGTTCTAACCTCATTATTTTACAAGTAGCTGTCCAGTTTTCCCACACTTATGAAGAGACTATCTTTTCTCCATTGTATATGCTTTCCTCTTGTGTCATAGATTAATGGACCATAAGTTTGTGCGTTTATTTCTGGGCTCTCTACTCTGTTACATTGATCTATGTGTCTGTTTTTGTGCCAATACCATACCATTTTGATTAGTGTTACTTCGTAGTATAGTCTGAAATCAGGGCGCATGATACCTCCAGCTTTGTTTTTTTTTCTCAAGATTCCTTTGCAATTTGGGGTCTTTTGTGGTTCTGTATAAACGTTAGGGTTATTTGTTCTAGTTCTATGAAAAATATAATGGGTATTTTGATAGGGATTGCATTAAATATCAACTCAAAATGACTTAAAGGCCTAAATGTAAGACCAGAAACCATAAAACTCCTAGAAAACATAGGCAGAACACTCTTTGACATAAATTGTAGCAGTATTTTTTTTGATCTGTCTCCTAAGGCAAAATAAATAAAGGCAAAACTTTTAAAAATGGGACTTAATTAAACTTAAAAGCTTTTGCATAGCAAAAGAAACCACTGACAAAAAGACAACCTATTGCAAATGATATGACTGATAACGGTTTAATACCTAAAGTATATAAACAGCTCATAAAACTCAATATCAAAAAAGCAAACAACCTGATTAAAAAATGGACAGAAGAACTGAATAGACATTTTTCCAAAGAAGATATACAGATAGCAAACAGGCACATGAAAAAATGCTCAACATTGCTAATCATCAGAGATATGGAAATCAAAACTATAATAAGATATCACCTCACACCTGGCAAAATGGCTATCATCAAAGGTCTACAAATAACAAATACTGGCAAGGATATGGAGAAAGAAAAGGGAACCCTAGTACACCATTGGTGGGATTATAAATTAGTGTAGCCACTATGGAAAACAGTATGGCAGTTCCTCAAAAAAATAAAAATAGAACTACCATATGATTCAGGAATTCCACCCCTGGGTATATATCAAAGAAAATGAAAACACTAATTCAAAAAGACTCATGCACCCCAACGTTCATACCAGCATTATTTACGAGAGCCAAGATATTGAAGCATTATTTACAAGAGCCAAGATATTGAAGCAACCTAAGCGTCCATCAACAGACGAATGGATAAAGAAGATGTGGTATATATATATACACACACTGGAATATTACTTGGCCACAAAAATAATGAAATTATGCCATTTTCAACAACATGGATGGACCTAGAGAGTATTATGCTTAGTGAAATAAGTCAGAAAGAGAAAGACAAATATTCTATGTTATCACTTGTATGTGGAATCTAAAAATAAAACAAACAAATGTATATAACAAAACAGAAACAGACTCGCAGATATAAGAACAAACTAGGGTCACCAGTGGGGACAGAGAAGAGGGGAGGGGCAAGATAGGGGTATGGGATTAAGAGGTACAAACTACTATGTATAAAATAAATAAGTAACCAGGATATACTGTACAGTACAAGGAAATATAGCCATTATTTTATAATAACTTTAAATAAAAAATCCAGAACTATTGAACCACTATGTTGCACATCTGAAACTAATATAATATTGTAAATCAACTATACTTCAGTTAAAAAAAAAATAAAGTGGTAGACATTTTTTGATTGATTACTATGTACTAGGAACTTATCTTTTTTAAAATATTTTTTTAATTGAAGTGTAGTTGATTTACAGCATTTCAAGTGTACAGCAGTGATTCAGTTGTACATATATATATACATGCACATACAGGTATATACACATATATACGCATACACACACACATATATATATATTCTTTTACAGATTCTTTTCCATTATAGGTTATTACAAGATATTGAATATAGTTCCCTGTACTATACAGTAGGTCCTTGTTGTTTATCTATTTTATATATAGTAATGTGCATCTGTTAATCACGAGCTCCTAATTTATCCTCTCTCCCACCCCGGGTAACCATAAATTTGTTTTCTATGTCGGTGAGTCTATTTGTATACATATACCACATCTTCTTTAGCCATTCATCTGTTGATGGACAGTTAGGTTGCTTCCATGTCTTGGCTATTATAAATAGTACCGCTGTGAACAGGAACTTACCTTTTTTTTGATTCTCCCAGTAGCTCTTTACAACCCAGTTTTACAAATGAGGAAACAGAAACTTAGAAAGATCAAGTAATTTGGCCAAAGTTAAATAGCTAGCAAATATTAAAGTGGGCTTCACATCCAGGTTATTTAAGCCAGAACCGAAAATAAATACTTAAACATTGTTCCATAACGCCGTTCCATTGTGCCATATTGTCTTCCCAGGAAGAAAGGTTTTAACCCATATTTTAGATTGATTATTAAGATAAGCTCTCCACGTAAAACATATTAATGGTAGTAACTTAACATCAGACCAACAGCCTTTCCTATGGTCTTGCTATTGGAAGTAAGGACCAGGCAGAGACTGAGGGTCATTCAAAAGCCTCTAGAAGACCAAAATCACAGGACAGCTGCAAGGGCCACTCTTCAAGGGACCCAACAAAAAGCCCCTGCATGCTCCTTGGTTGAAGAGGAAAACTTCAGTGCAGACTGAAACCCTGGTTGAAGAAGGAAATTTTAGTCTAGCCTGAAGCTAGACTAACTAGATTAACTAGATTAACTCCACACTCCTCCCAACAAATTCAGGGGCATGGTCACTTTGTACGAGCTCAAACCAATAACAGGGAGGAGTTAATGAGCAATGGCATGAGGAGGTAGAGAGGAGGGAGAGCGGTGACATTCAGCAAGCAATTCAATGGGGATGACTCACTGTCACGGGGTGCACGTGTGTGGTGTGGTGAGTATGTGGTAGGGACAGCCCGCTCATGGTGGCGAAGGGGAGTAGGAGATAAGGACGAGAGCACTTTGCTTCCCCTCCTGTAGCCTCTTCCCCTGCCCCACCTTGCCCTGCTGGGTACCTCCTGGAGTTTTTGGTCTTCGTGGGTCATGGAGAGCAGCACGGTGCTATTGCGCACCACGGGGATTTCCTGCCAGAGGGAGCCACTGGAGGCCATGGAGAGGCGTTTCAGGTAGGACTCCGAGGACACCAAGGCCTTTCGGGGCTGCCGGGGGGAGGCGGGCCCCGGTGCCTCTGTCAGGCTGTCCAGCCGCTGCTGGCTCTGGATCTCCTTGTTCAGAAACACATCGCTGTACTCCTGGTAAAGCAGCTGAGCTACAGGGGTGAAGAAGCACGGCAGAGGGAGAGAATTAGGGAGCTGCGGAGTTGAGGCACACAAACAGAAGCCACCAAGCTTCTGGCTCTCCTGGCATCACTCTCTCCCTACAGATGTCCCCGCCCCACGGCTGATAGCCAGGAACCCCTCTCCAGTCTTGGGCAGAACACTCATGTGGGTCCACAGTTCTGTTTCAAGGTACTCACAGGAATTGATGAGCTTGGAGCAACGTCTTGAAAAGCCTCCCATCACCTCCTTTGGCTTTTTCTCCCTGTGGAGTCAAGAAGGGCTCCGTGGTGCTTGCTGGCCTTCAGACACGGAGAAGCCCCAGGTGACTACGGATAAGACAGTCTCTAACCACTGAATGTCAGGGCCAAATCCCCTGGAGAGGCAAGTTGTAGCCTGACCCACTTTTGGGTAGTTTGAAGCTTCTTTGGATGTCAAGCTTTTTTTACGGGGGTGGGGTTCAGTTCATGGGGCCAAATGGCCTATATAGGGATGGGAGATTTGGACTCAGTTGACGGAAGCAGATAGATAAAAAGTCTCCCTACACCCTGGAAACCTGGGGTCTGTCTCTTCCCCTCCTTAACCCTGGAAAAGACAGGGTCCCAGAACCTTTGTCAACTAATGAAAATCTCAGTATCCTAAGAAAAAAGAGTAAAACTGTATCCATTAGGACAGAGGGTGACTCACCGAAAAACAATGGCATCTGAAAGGCTAGGGGATTTTTCCACGGCTGGACCTCCTGTGTCGGAAAATGGAAATGGGTAAAGTAACTGGGACTTCAGAAGGGGCATTCAGAGAGAGCCAAAGAACATAAGATCTAGAGTGGGAGATGCAGGCATCGGTGTGGGGCGTGGGGGGGTGGTAGGTGGGTAAAAGGGCTCAACTGGGAACCTGTGAGAGAGGACAGTGCCGAAGTCGAAAGCATTTGAGGACAATAGTACCAGGTCTGTCCCCGTCCCTCGTGTCAGAACATGAACTGGACAAGTAGAAGATGCCTTCTCTTCTACTGGAAGGACATCAAGCAGGTCTTTGTAACTGGAAAGTAGAGGCGGAGTGGGGCAGGGGGAGGTTCAGAACAATCTTGGGGAAAAGAGATACACAATAAAAGCACACCATGGTTGGGTGATGGATGGAGACAGAGGGGAAGGAGAAGAAAGGGCAGCACCGTGAGCTCAGAGAGGGTCTCAAGGACTTTCCTCTGCACTGGGGCTGTGTAGGTGGGTGAGCGAAGCCAGCAGGAGGCTGGGGGACAGGAGGCGGATGAGGAAGGAAGGGCTGGAGAGAGCTCGGCCTGACACGAATGTCACCGCGGTCCTTGCCCCTCACTCACCTGAAGGGCCCTCGGGTAGGATGGAGGGTCTGCGCAGGCCCTGCCGGTGCCAGTCCTTGTGCTTACTCGACCCCTCACTAGGGACCCCCACCTGTCCACTGCTGCCCTCCGCTGGTCTCCCTGAGTCCCGTCTGTGAGGCCAGCTGGACGCCTTCTCCAGGTGGGGATGGCTGGGCTTCTCTGGCTGCCTTGTTCGGCCTAGATCCGACCTCCTCAGGCCATTGGCTCCTTCCTGGGGGAAGATCCTTCTGAAAGATCTTCTGGCAGGGACCTCAGGCTCTTCCGTGGTGGGTCCCTGGACCTCCAGTGTCCAGGGGGTGGTCGGGAAAGCGGGACTTACAAGAGCTGTCATGTTACTGAAAGCCATGCCAGGGGGCACTTCACTCTTACTCCTACTGGCGGGAGACGAAGAGTCTGTCGATCTGCCCGTGGCCGGAGGCCAGGAGACACGTCCCGCAGAATGGGGAGTGGAGATGGTCCACTCTTGACAAACTGGCCTGGTCCTGGCCTGACCCCCTGAATCTCCGAGTCCCCCCTGGGCGAGCCTGCTCCTCTCCCTGGACTTTGGGGGTAACGGTGGTGGTTCAGTAGGAGGGTTCACAACAGGGACCGGGGGGAGAGGCCTGTAGATCCTGGAGCTCCTCGAAGAAGAAACAGGAGAAGGGTGTGGCTGAGACAAATCGGGAGTTGGGGGTAATGGCTTGTTGTATCTTTGCCTGGGAGAGAAAGAGGTCTGAGTATGGTCAGGGGTGTCCGGGGTAGAGGGCAGGGGTCGGTGCTGCCTTGCCACAAGGGGGTCAGGAACTCGGGGCAGTGGGCCTTTGGGGTGGCCGTGCAGCCCTAAACCTAGGGCCAGGGGAGGATGGCTATACCGTCTCTGCGTGGGGACCACGGCAGAGCGATGGCCGTCTCCCTCCACCGTAGAGCGGACGCGCCTCTTCTCTGGGGCAGGAGGGGGTGGAGGCTCACGGGTCCTCTCATCTACGGAGACAGTGGGTGGGGAAGGGCCATGGGCAGGAGATCCTGGGGCAAAGGCCGAGGGATGTGTGGAGGCCCACGGCCGACTGCTTTGGGGGCTGCCAGGCCTTGCTGGGTTTGAGGCCAGTTCTTGAGAGTCCTGCCCTGGAGCGGGTAGTGAACTTGAGGATCCCGGAATGACGGCACAGTCCCTTCCGCCTTTCCTGCCCCTTCTTGGGCTCACAGAGCCATAGATGGCAGCTTTGGGGCGTCTCTGGGGCAACTCTGAGTGGGAGAAGGAGAGTGATACTCCCGCCAGGTCCGGAGTCGGTTCTGCCCTGTGAGAGCCCAGGAAGGAGTGGCCCCTCCGGTGCTGGGCCACCCCAGTGTGGTTGCCTGGGGGACCCTGAGGGCTGGCCTGGCCTGCTGAGGGGAAGTCGTGGAGGGCAGCTGCAGGGCCCTCAGAAGCCCCACAGGGAGATGGGCTGTCGGTGGGTCGAGAGGCTCCGGACATTTCTGGAGAACATGCAGCAACCCAGGGCTCCCTCCTGGGGAAGGCGACTTGGGGGCCCGCAGAGGATGAGGCAGTCATGCCGGCGGAGACTTCAGGAGGGCTGGGAGGGGCTGACGCTGCTGTCCTTGGAGGGGTCACAGAGACCCCCTCCTCTCCCCGGCTGGATGCTGTCCCCTTCTCCAGCTCAGAGCCCACTCGCTGGTTGTACTGAGCTGTTTCTTGGTCAGGCGACTCCGCGGCAGGAAAGGAATGAGGTAAAGAAATGAGCTGCTGGGACCATCCTACTAGCTCCAGGGCAGGAGTCAGAGCTACAGGGGATGGTTCCTCAGCCCTAGGCTCTGTCTGAGTCCCGGGGATCCTGGCTGTGGGACAACAGGCATCTGGAAACAAGTCATGGGGAGAAGAGACCTCAGGGGCTACCAGAGCCAGTGTGGCAGGAACATCACGCTCTCCTCCTTCCTCTGTATGCCTCTCTTCTCCCCCTGCCCCCAGGGTGTCCCCACGCCCACTGCCCACGTCCTCGCTTGACCCTGCCTTCTCCTCCTGCCCCTCTACTGGCATCGCTTTCCCCTGTAGACCCTGATCTTCTTGCTTTCCAGCGACTTTCACTGATTTCCCCACTAAGCTTTCATTCTCCTCGTACTGAGCATCCACCTTCCTCTCCTCTGGCCCCGTCAACTCCCCGCTCTCCTGTTCCCCTTGTTCTAGATCCCTGTGGCCGTGAGACCTCCAGTGCCACTCACCAGAACTCAGACCTCCCAGTTCCCCACTATGGCCCTTGCTTTCTCCTTGTTCTGCAAGCATCACATCGTCTTGAATCCGCCGCTGGTTTTGTCTCTGTTCTTCCTCTGTTCCGCTAACCTGCTCTCCCATCTGCTCCCCCGAAAGCCCATCAGAGCAAACATCCTCCCGCAGAGTTCCCTCCCCCTGAAGTCCCCGTCCCTCCAGCTCCTCGGCCTTCTGGAGACACACGGCCCCTTCTCTCTCTGGACTTTCCCGCCTGGTAGGTCCACTTTCTGAGTCCTGTGGCTGGTTGGTCTCCGCAGGGTACTCTTCACAGCAAGGCCCACATCCGGTCTGGGCAGAGGTGTCTGGGGAAGTTTCCTCCTCTCCTTCGGCTTGTCCGGTTTCCAATACCAAAGAAGTGAGCTCTGGTTTAAATTCCACCTCCATGCTGCTACCCAGTTCACTGGATATTGAGGCCGTGTCTAGATATTCACCCTGGCTGGGGCAGGCCCAGAGCTCTGGGGGAGCTGGCGGCCTTGCCTGTCTATCCGCTGGGCACTGGGGCCCTGCCTCCTGATGCTCTGGAGTGTCACAGGCCTCAGCCATCAGGCTTTCCTGGTCGGTCTCCACATCTGCAGAGGCTTCGATGGGAAAAGAGGTCATGCTCTCAGTTGCACAGTCATTCACATCCCTTACATGTCTCTGCTGGGTCTCCAAGAGTCCGTGTCTCTCTGCCCACTGATAGGGTGGATCCTCGCCCTCTTCAGCTTCAGGTTCCAAGGCAGGGGTCTGCCTGCTTCTCATGGGAGCTGCCAGGATAATACTGAATTCCACTCTGGCAGGAATGGGGGTCGCCGCTCCGTGTTGGGGCCCCTCAGCTTCCATCAGGGCTGAATCCTAAAGAGGAATAAGAGACAAACTTTCTATCCCCTCTTCTGCTTTTATTTATCAGAGGGACAGACCATAAAGAACAAGTGTGTGATGGTTTCTTTGGTGCCATTTACTGTCATTCTTTGAGACAAAAAGTACTTCACAAAATAAGCAATAGCCTGTATAAAACTTGTCACTGATTTATTCCTTTAATAAATATTTACCAAGTGACCCTCTCGGTAGTGAACAAGGCAAACAAAGACTGTGTCCTCATGGAGCCTGCAGTCTCGTGGGAGAGACAGATGATAAACAGTTACATTAGGGCACAAGACCGTTGTCAAAGGGTACCAAGCATTCCCAGTGGTCATTACCCTCTAGATTGTATTATGTCGTAGTGTCTCCCTGTCTGCTCTCTGGGCACCAAGAGCGACTCAGTTCCATATAACTCCCAGACACTGTGAGTGACACACCCTAGATCTAAGAGTCCAGAGAAGCAGTGTCTGGAGGGGTATCCTCCACCTAAGCTGCAGAGGGGATTAAAACAGGTCTGGCCATTACGGCCAGCATCTGAGGTACTACAGCGTCGTGTAATCTTTACAGAGGGTCTGGATTTCACTCATCTTATTTTCCACAGTGTCTGGCAGAGCCTGTAACTAATTAACAAAAAAATTGTTTTTCAATTATAGAGGCAGCTGTTGGAAAGCGGAATGATAACTAGACTTGCTAGATGAGAACCAGAGCAGATGCAATGGGCACCTACTTCAATGGGGGCCATCAAACTGTGTACCCCTCACTATCTTACTCTCCCCTTCTCTCCACCGACCACGTGAACTCTTCTCATTACTGCCCACGTTACTGACCTTCCACCTCTCTTTCTCACCTTGCAAAGAATTTACAAACCAGCGGAGAGGAACTGCTTCAGTTTCTTGCAATTCAGAGAGGCCCACACTTCCCCCTCTGACAATGCAAGAGCATCCCTCCTCTCTAAGTGCCACCTTCTTTAGCCTGCCTTTTCAGGACCTGATGCCATGGATTATCTCATTCTTTCATACCTTCACCTTCTTTGTTGGAAGCATCCCACCAGAATTTAAGCATGTTCATGTCTTTCTCGTCTTTCCAGTGTGTAAGTGGAATTCTTCACATCTGCGGTCTTCATATCCTCACATCTCACCTACCTCTAGCTGGGCTTCAGTAGCACCACCCTGCCCATCTCTCCTACAACCTTAACTTGTTAACTCCAAACAAGACTCTAGGGATGCTTATTTTGGTGGTTCTTGCCAGCATGACACTACACTGGACACAAAATTGACATTAGAAGTACTCTTTCTTGTTATTTGTGAGACATTTTCCTGATGTAACCCCTTAAGTGTTCCCCAATCCTCTACCTGGGTTACTGTGCTCCTCTTTGTAGCACTTATCAACCAGAGTTCTCTTTACTTCCTCTTTGTAGCATTTATACAATTATAATTATATAGTTACGTGCGTATTTTGATTTACCATGTATCTCAAACAAGAGGCGGTAAGCTTCACGAGATCAAGAACAATATCTGTCTTGCTCAACTGTCTGCACCTAATACACAATACCTGGCCCATGCTAAGCACTCAATAAATATTTTTCCATCACAGAATAAAATTCTTATTTCCCTCCTGGCCCGCATTCCCCATATCTAATCAGTCACCAAGTCCTATGGACCCCGCCTCCTGAGTATCCTTCAAGTCTGTCCACTTCTCTCCATCTCCGCTGCTACAGCCTGGTCCACCCTGCTGCCCTTTCGTACCCAGGCCACTGCACATGGGGCACAGCTGGCCGCTGGCCTCCACACGGCTTCTCTTCCCCTATTTCCAAGGCATTCTCGCCCCAGCACCTGAATGATCCTTAAAAGCCCCACTTCTAGTTTAAATGCTTCAGTAGCCTCCTGCTGCCATTGGGATGAAACCCAAATATCCATTGTGGGTTACATGCCCTCCACAACCTGGCCTCTGCCTTCCTCTCCAGCAGACTCATCACCTGTCAACACCTGTCGGTTTTCAGTCCCCTCGGCGCACCTCCCTCTCTCACCTGTAGGCCTTCACATGTGCTGCTTCTCTACTTGGAACCCTACTCTCCTGCTCAGAGAACCCTTTACTTCTTCTCAAACTCATTGCACTTGTAGTTACAAATTTCGCGTCTATTTTCTAGGTTAAGCCATGAACTTCACGAGAACACAGACACTGCCATATTTAACTGCTCAACTCCCTCTGCCTGGGGCTTACCTGTCCCTCAACAAAGATTCACTGCATGGATAAATGAAGAAAGGAAGAACACAGAGTTAAAAGAGTGTTGTCCAGCTTTTAGTTCTACTTTTTCTTGCATCCTGATAATTTTCACACAGTTGTAGAAATCATGTAATTTACTTGAATATTCATTTTCTTACCTTTAGAAAGGGGATAATACACTCACTTTCCAAGGACTTCTAATAAAGATTAAACACGACAACGTAAAAAATTAAAAAGTGCATTGTTAACACTGATGGTAATAGAAATGTCAGGGATTGTAAGTATTGTTGGAGAGAGAGAAAGAGAGAAAGTGTAGGAGAGAAATACAGGATTTCTGAGCTGGAAGGACTTTTAGAGACACATAGAAAACTTCGCCTAATTTACAGATGAGGAAACTGAACTCAGATAACCTACACACTTGCTCAAGTTTCCTAAGCAAATGTACAGGTGAACTCAAACCAGGGCCTTCTCACTTCGGTCTACCATAAGCAACCAGAAGTCCAGCTGTTAGAAAGCTGGCCGGTCACTAGTACAGAGAAGACCCTGGGGGCTTATAGAACTCACAGCTGCACCTGGACTCACACCTTTCCTGTCTAGTCTAGGCTTAAAGCAGAAACCCACTGCCCCAAATGCCTGCATGCACGCTCGCATAAACATGCATACACACACACACGCTAAACCGCCCTTGCAGGGGCTTCCCTGGTGGCGCAGTAGTTGGGAGTCCCCTGCCAGTGCAGGGGACATGGGTTTGAGCCCTGGGCCAGGAGGATCCCACACGCTGCGGAGCAACTGAGCCCGTGTGCTGCAACTACTGAGCCTGCGCTCTACAGCCCAGGAGCCGCAACTACTGAGCCCACGTGCCATAACCACTGAAGCCCACATGCCGCAACTACTGAAGCCTACACACCTAGAGCCCGTGCTCCACAACAAGAGTAGCCCCTGCAATGAGAAGCCTGTGCACCGCAGCAAAGGGTGGCCCCTGCTCACCGCAACTGGAGAAAGCCTGTGCGCAGCAGTGAAGACCCAACGCAGCCAAAATAAATACAAATAAATAAATAAAATAAAAATAAACCACTCTTGCAGGTTCTACGCAGGAGAGCATGACATCACCACATGGGTACTTCCCTAGCCACCCTGCAGCTGTAGTACGTGACGAGCTCCTGGTCACCTCATAGACACAGATAACCATCTCTATGGGGTAAAGGGCCCTAACACAAGCGTAATGTGTAGAAGGGCTTTTACGTCTTTTTCCAGTTAATTGACACAGTGTGTGATGTGGCCCCTACATCCAGCCCTAAGTACAAAACACTATAATCACTACAGATGGTGCTGCTGTGGCGTGACCCTGTTTTCCCAGCCACATGTTAAATAATATACTTGCTCACCGTAAACACTTTCTGAAACTTGGCTCCCACCTGCCTAAGGAGACCTTGTGATTAAACCTGTAGCCTCCCCTCCCTGGCACGTGTACTGTCCCGGCCCTATACTCATAGACACTCTCATGTCCTCAAAACGAGCAGCCTCTAAACACACAAGCGTATTTCTGCTATATTCAGGTTACATCTACAGACAGCATGTGCTACACGAACATCTTCAGTTCCACTCTAGTGACACAATGTGTGTCTGTCTCCTGCAACCCCACTGACACTACTTCTAACATTATCTTTACCCTTTTGGAAATACTGGTGGCCACCGGCTCAGCCCCCATGTCCCTACACTTGGACCTGTCCTATAATCCTATGACAATCAAGCATTACGAGTCTAGAACATGACAAAGCTAAAGGAAATCTGTAAAACATGGTTTTGCTCACATAAGGGCATCAGGAGAGAGATTTGTTTTGCACTTCCCACTATGTAAGAGTCACTTCCTCATCGCCTTCTGCACTGGGGGTGAATAATCATTTTTACCTGAGCACAGGCAAAGACAGAGCATGGCACCATGGTGATCTGGCCTCCCTCCAGACCAGGGTCATTTTTGCATCTGCTGCCCCTGTTCACATGCGACTTCTTTCAAGACAAAGCTCCAAGTCACCCCATTGACACAGCGTGTGACAGAATTCAATAGTCCCCTTAGAGCCCCCAGTACCTTAGCTCTTGTCCATTTCCAGTCACCAGACATCAGTTTGTATTTCCAAGATATCCCTCCTCCTTATCTCCCACCCCCATTACACTGCTTCTCCTTCAATCCAGTGTCAAGTGCCACGTGTACTTTTGAGGACCATGCTTCCTGGATTGTCTAGCAGCGTCAGTTTCAAATATTCTGACCTACACCACAAATCACTGAGATACTCCTGAGGTTACAATACTTCTGCATTTACACTGTATCGCCTATATGCTATTTTAGGAAAATACCCACCAAATCAAAAGAAATGTTCTCATTTTGATTTCAAACATAAGATCACCACATAGATGGATGCCACCATTCACTGTTTCACATTATTGCCCTCAGTGCTACAAAGACATCAAAATAAGAGTAGCTTTCTGGACCGCTAACTGCTAAGACCTGTGTTCTACCCATTTTCGGAAAGCCCCATCATCCAAGTGAAAGCTGTAATAAACACCTCTATCTACCCCTAATGTCTGAAAATATCACATCATCCACTGCCTTGTAGCCCTGATGGGCTCACACAGACCATCATTAGTGGCAATGCTGAAATATACCCCACAAGCCCAACTGTGGCCCTGGTGCCACCCACACAGATGTGAGAGTGAGTGACCTGTGTGTGTCCTTAACATAGACCCTGACGGTCACCTTGTTCTGGTCCACCTTGTAGACACTACACATGACCAGCTCCTGTTTACTCCACAGACATGGTGAGTGACTCACCCCTGTCTACACCAGATTCTGTAAATCATCTGTTTGGGTTTACACCGCTTGAGTGACACTTGAGTAACACTGATCCTGTTCTTGTCATACCACATAGTGACTGACCACACCAGACACCATGAATGACATGTTCCTGTCTATCCCACACACACCGCGCTTAATGCAGCCACAGGCAACCCCGGAGAGACCACGTTGTGGACAGCCATACGCTCTAGGGACCCCTAATCTATAAAGACTCTTGACTATATTTAGAATCACTGTATCCTTTTGATAAGAGGGATTCCTTCCCCCACCTCCTGACTTCTCTCTCTTTCCCAGCAAGACAATGACAGACCTTCCCACTGCTGGACAGTCTCACTCAGAATTGACACCCCACATCCTTTCCCCTCCCCAGCCCCCCAAGAATCCCCTCAACGGACATGGCTCCAGTTTCAGGCCCACAGACTGGTTAACAAATGACCCCCATTTTGCCGGCGCCCAGGTGTAGATAAACCAGGAAGTCTGAACAAAGGGCCACATTAGGAGCTGTTTAGCCAGGAGCTGAGATTTCTGGGGTAGCCAAGGATGCAAGACCCAGGACTGCAGTGCGGGAGCAAATGGGGAAGAAGCTACAAAAGAAAGTCACTCTCCCTCCCTTGTCTGTCAAGAGTCCCAGCCAGAGTTCACTCCTCACTCCTTGGGAGACAGGAGGGCAAATCTGTCTTGGGAATCCCAGATCCAGGAAGGAGAGCAGGGGCTGAGATCTGAGAATCCAGGGGCACCCACCGGGATGGGCTCTCCTAGGACAGTCTTGCTGGAGGGAGGTTATGAATAATGCTCAATACTAGACCTCAGCAGGGTGCTCTAGCACCCCAACTCTGAATAGCTCTCTTCCCACTTCCCCAAGTTCTGAATGCAATGTTGTGATCAACATGAAGCTTTGGAAGCACTCCCCATATGTGGGGAAACCGGGTGGAGGGCAGGGCAGGAGCGGTTGTTTACAGGTTAAAGCACCTCGGCTAACAGGGAAGAGCTATGTACTTAGACATACACAGTATGCGAACTCATAGGAAAATAAGGGAAGGAAGGCCCAGGCCTGGTTAAGAAAACAGGAGACAACAAAACATCTCCAGGGACGGAGTAGGTCCACAAAGGGAATCTCAGTTATTCCTTATTATAGGGGTTAGCTTTCCCCAGGGCCTAGACTTAGAAGAAAGAGCCCTCATTACCGGCCCGCGGAACACCTAGGGGCAGGGTGCCCATTTGCAAGGCGGAGACCAGGCCGGAAGCAAATTTTTCCAGGCAAGAACCTTTCGTCCAGCTTCCCTCCTCTTCCAGACCAAGGTACTCGGTCCTACACCCCGAGCTCTGCCTATCTGCCCAGCCCCCCCCTTTCCGGAGCCTGCGTCGTCCCCGGACCCAGCCGGGGCTGGCCCCAAGGTGAAGGCCTAGATTCCGGCGCTTCCCGCCACTCCCTGACCTCCGCCGGGGCTCGACAGCCGCCCGCCCGGAGACGGGAGCTGCGGGGGAGGAGGGCACCCACCTGGGAAGTGTCACATGCTGTCCTGGCCCAAGAGTCCCCTCGGGTCCCCGGCGCCGGCCGGCAGTCCCCAGCGCAGGCCCCGGCAGCCCAGCCGCCCCGCCCGGCCGGGAGGGAGGGATCTGGTTCTCTTCGGAAGTTTCAGGTGAGGAAACCAGGGACACACCTTCCTGGAGGAGGGCCGGGGCCCCTCCGCGCCGCAGCCTCATTGGTGTGAAGGGAGCGCCCGCGTCAGAGCTGGGAAGTGCCGGCCGGGCCGGGAGGGGAGCCCGGGGCTGGCGGGACAGCGGCCGGCGGGGGCCACCCGAGGGCGTGGGACTAGGAGAGCGGAGAGCGGGGCCTCTCCTGGGCCCGGCTAGGTCTCTCACACCTGCCTGGGTGTTTCTTCTCCCCAGTATTTCTTCAGGTCTTTACCTGAGCCGGACCCATGCCGATCTTTCCCCTGTTGATGTTCATCTCTTGGCCAGTCTGTGTCTCTGAACTTCTGAGTTTCTGTGTCCGTCTGTATTTGCATGGGCATCATCAGGCCTCCATGTTAATGTCTCTACCTTGACGGCTACCTGTCTCTCCCTTTATGAGGAAGGGTGTATCCTGCTCCCTCTCCGCCTTTCTCCCTGCGCCGGCCCCTCCCTCTTCTCCTTCCTCCCTCTGACTCCCTAAGAGGGCGTCTCTTAGGGCCTGGGAACGTGCATCTCTAAAACAGCATGTCCAGGTCTTTCCTCCATGCATTATCTGAGTTCATGTCTCCCAAGGTGTGTGTTCCTCCTGCATTCTCCCCAGGACTTGTGTGTGTCTGTACGTAAGTATCTAAGCCTATGTCTCAGGCCTGTGTGTTTTCTCACGCCTATATATATATCTTTTTCTGATATTTTCAGGGAAACCTTATGTTCTCTTGGTCTCTGAGTCCAAGGCTGAGTGGGTCAATCTTTTTTTTTTTTTTCCTGAGTGGGTCAATCTTTATGCCTCTCTGTAGACTTCAAAGAATGCCAAGATATTCTACGCTGCAGACACACACACACGCACACGCACACGCACACGCACACACACACACACACACACACACACACAGAGTAAGAATCCCTCACGTAGGGGACAGAGATTTCTGGTATGTTCATTTCACTTAGATCAGCCCCCAGCCTCACTCGTTACTCCAGTCAAGTAGACTCTTAACGGGCTTTCTGGCTGTTTTGCTCTTAGGACTGCCATGATCTATAAGCCCAAACAGCTATTCGGTGAGACCATTTCCAGATTACTGTGCCCATTGGCTGCTGCGCTGATCCCAGCTGCGTAGGCCTAAGAGTACTTGGAAGGGGGCTTTAGCGTAGAATGTCATTAAGGCAGAATGGTTTCCTTTCCAATAGGGTCCCGAAGCAACTCTATATTCAAAGAATGCGCTGCTTTGGCTATAGCACTCCAAGGGGTTAAGCCTTCAATAGTCCAGCAGCCTTTAGCCTACTCTGAGCTGCTACGTAAGGCGTGGGAAGCCATGGGGAAAACCAGAAGTAGGAGTTCAGGTACATAAGGACAGCCCTCACACATGCCATTAGCTCAGCAAGAGGATAAGGCTGGGGAGTGCAGAAAGTCAAAACTTTAAGCTAGAACTGTCTATTTCTCAGTTGCCAGAGAGAATTCAGTCCAGGGTGTGAGAGAGCCCTTGACTTCTAATGGCTGAGCAAAGTAAGCAAACTCCTGACCTTTGGGCAGAAGTGACCGATCTCTGCTGTTTCATACTGCCTCCTGGGAGTGGGTACTGTGGTCACAGGTGCCGGAACTGCCTTCTAAACCACGCTGGCTATCCTTTCTGCTCCACTGTGGCTTCCCTTGGTTCTCCCTCCAGCCCTTTGTTTTCTCTGGACGTGACGTCTCATAGACTTGAGCTCCTCTCGTTCTGCCAGCTCTGACCTATCACCGTTTTTGTTTTCTTAAGTCACCGCCCCTGATTCAACGATCTTGGGGTCATTGAGAGTTAGGCATACAAGGCTCGACCTGACTTTTCAACTAGTAGTGACATGTAGGAGAGTTAAAACTTACCACTTAGGGAGTTGATCCTTCCCACGGAGCACCCCTGTCTGCAGGGTGTTTGCATGTGCGAACCGTCTAGCGCCCCAGCCTTCTCTTGCCTTCACTTTGCACACTGGCGTTCTCTTCTTTCTTCCTTTCCATTTCTTGATGCTTGCCCTTGATGAGTGGGCTTCTGAATCAGGCCTGTCATCCTATACCAAGATCTTGATATCTTATTTGGGCCATTTCCTCTATAAAGACCAGAGAGGAGAGAGAATGATACAGTAGAAAGAGGATGGGATTTAGATTCAGATGGGGTGCTTTGGGTCAATTTGAATCCCACCCTCACCACTTACTTAATGCAAAAATTTGGCATATTAACTTCCTGTGCTTCATCTTCATCTTTCCAGGCTTCATTATCCTACTGTCTTAAGTGGGGATAATATTTAATAATCCCTGCCTCACTGGGTCGTTGTGGTGAGTCAGCAAGGTAATGTATAGAATCACCTTAGTACAAGTGTAGAAGGTGATCGGTATGGTTTCCTTTCGTAACAGTGCCTGATAGTTCTGTATGTTGAATGAATAAATTTACAATATCAAGGTGATAAGAGATGGGAAAGGTAAACCAATTCAAAGTAAAGTTATTTTAAAATGAGAGCTGTATTCAGTGGGGGGAAAAAAGTAAAAGGTTCTCGTTTGGGGGGACATGTTAATTGCAGACAGTGCCTTTGAGATCCAGCCGTGATGGAGAAAGGACAGAGAACTGTCCTCTGTAGTTCTAGGTATTGGGAGCAAAGGGATTACAGTGACCATCTTTGAAGCAGGGACTCATCAGAGTTCTCCCTGGGGCTGTCACTGCCCTGACCAGATGCCACCATCCCATGTTATTGGCTGTGTGGCCTCCCACTTGGTTAACTGACCCTCAGCGGATCCAGCACTAGTTCTTTGAATAGTACTCTGGCCTTTCTGATTCTGCTTTTTACCTGATCCCGTGACCCACCTTTGAACCTTTCTGAAGTGATTTTGAACTCAGTTCTTTTCTTAACTTGGCCAACCATGGTCTGTCTTTCTCCTTTAAATCCACCCTGACTTGGCCAGTGTGGTTCTTAACTATCCCGTTCTATTCTGCTGAACATGTTTTTCTTTCTCATCCTTGGTTTCCCTTTCTTTCCTCGGCTTCCCTTTATTTCTTTTCTCAACCTTTGTACATTGGTGCCAGCCTAAATGTAATGCTGTTCAACGTATAAATAGTAATTGCCTCATTCTTCTTTTCATTCGTTTACTTCATAGCCATTTTTAGAAGTCAATATACAAAAACCAACTCCCTGCCCCCAAAGAGCTCTCAATCCAATGGAGGAGAGAAACAAGTAGCAAATAATAGAGTGTGATGGGTGTTATGCTGATATCTACACAAAGTGTGACGCGTGAAAGAGAGAGCACTGCTTGGGGAGCAAGAGAAGCCTTCAAGGATAAGGTGATGTTTGAGTTGACTTGCCTTTAAAAAGTACACTGTTACATGGTGGAGAGGAGGCTAGAGTTAAGGCATACCAGCAGTGGGAATGGAATATGCAAAAACAGAAGCATAAGCTTCAGGGAAGAACAGACAGTGGGCTTAACAGGAAGTATGGTAAAGAAATGGCAGAGACAAAAACAGAAAAAAGAAGTGGTAACTATGTAAGGTGATGGATGTTAATTAGCTTGATTGTGGTGATCATTTCATAGTGTATATGTATATTGAAACATCAAGTTGTACACCTTAAATATATACAATTTTTATTTGTCAATTATCCTCAATAAAACTGAACAAAATCCTTTAGAGGAGACGCATCTCTGGAAGCATAAAGTCCAAACTCAGTAGCATGTATGGCCTTCAAGACGTTTCATGGCCTGACTTCTCACTCTCCCCAGGTCTCTGGAGGCTCATAGTTCTTGAAATTTCTCCTATAGGTATATTTTTAACTTGGGCACATATATCATAGGAAAATATATATGCCTCTGCATCTTATTCAATTAAACCTCTTCAAAACGTCTGGGAAATGGTGTCTGAGAGTGACCACATCTTTCCACAGAATGGTTACAGCCTTGGAGAGTGCCAACAGTTATCAGGTGACAGCAGGATCCTATCCCGTATTGCAGTAAGAAGTCCCTGGAAGTGCCATTATTCGTATTGTCTTACTTTTTTTGAGTGTTTCATCTGGGGTTGTTTCAGAAGTTCTCCCATCCCCAAATCTTGGAAGATAAGGATGGAGATAAAGATGGTGATGATCTCTGTTGGCAAAGAGACTAAAACCAATGAAGCCCATTTAGTGGAGTTCTGGCTCTATCGCAGTGGTTCCCAAACCTGGCAAATCAGCAAAATATTTAGGGAAGATTTTTTTTCTTTGTTATTATTCGTTGGTTTGTTTTTAAGTGTCCCACGTCATTATGATGAGAAGCCAGATTTGGGACTCTTGATATAAAAGCAATGGTTCTTCACCAGAGGCTTTTATCATAATCACCCAATAAGTTTTATGAATTGACTGTTGCCCCAAATCTATGGAGTTTCAATGGCACAGGTTCAAGCGGAACTATTGGAAAATGGCTCCTTGCTGGTTTGGATGAATGATGATAATGGAGACTCTCTGATCTACAGCAATGGCTTCAAAACAGTTTTTATCTGACTTTCTATCAATCAAAATATTTCAACAAGTATCCCCAATATGTGTTTTATTCATTTGTAAACAATATACATGTACTTCTTTATATTAATGTGAAACAGACATTTATAATAATGAGATGAAAACAAATATAATGAAAAGTTCTAATATTTTCATCCCATTCTCCCAATAGATCCACTGAGCATCCTGTTGTGTGGACCCCTGATAGAAAGAGCGGGATCAGTGCTTCCTTAACTGGACCTCAACTCTTATTTAGATTTTATCATCTCCTGTAGCTGTCTAGAAGCAGAATCACCCCTGCCCAACCCAAGTAAGGCACTCTCACTCAATTGTTTCATTCATTCAGTCATCCAACATACATTTCTTGTGTTCCCATTATGTGAAAGGCATTGAATGAGAGGCTGGGGATATCGTGGTCCACGTGGTCCTT